TGTCCCGTTGGAATGAATTCATGATGAACCATACCGCGAATATCGAAAAAAAATCAAATTTCCGGAAACTTACAAATTTCTCGGATTTGACAGGAATTTTAGTAGCAACAAGTTTATATATATATATTTTTTTTTTTTAAATAGTGTACTAATTGTCCCGTAAACAAATGCAATGTTTGCCTTTTATCCATTTTTATTCTATTAAAAAATTATTAAAATACCAATCAGATGTTCACTAGCTTCCATTGCTGCTGGCTGTCACCTACAAGTCCGCATTAACATTGGCATCTGTCCAGTCTACAAAGCAAATTTTATAAAAAAAATTCTCGACTGTTCTTTTGCGATTTATATTTATAAGAAGAATGTTGTGGTCTCCAGTTGAAAGAGGCACAGTAAATCCTTCCAAGAGGAACATAAAAAATCTTCAATGTTTGAGGATCTGAAAGCGAAGTGCCATTAAGGCCAACAAATGCTAGCTTTGCATAAGATTTTGAAATATTGGATGAGTGCATAAGTTCGTGCCCGATTCCGCTGGATGCCGTTCGAATAGTTTGAGAGTGGCGCTAGTGATAGAAATATATACATATTATATATCGTTGGAAAGGTGACAGTCCGAACTGTAAACCAAGCATAAAATAATTTCATTTTGATTTGAGTTGCTTAGTGAAAAGACGCATGGAAGATGGACAACGAAAAAGATCATATGCGTCATATTATGTTATACGAATTCCGCAAAGGAAAAACAGTAGGCGCTGCAACTAAAGATATTCGCGAAGTTTATTTGGACCGTGCTCCAGCACTCCGCACAGTAAAGAAATGGTTCGCGAAATTTCGTTCTGGAGATTTTAACCTCGAAGATCAACCTCGCAGTGGACGGCCTTCTGAGCTTGATGACGATGTTCTAAGGACTTTAGTTGCGAATAACTCACGTATTTCGACGGAAGAGGTTGCCAGTGAATTGAACGTCAACAAATCAACTGCGTTTCGTCGTTTAAAAAAGGTTGGGTACACTTTGAAGCTCGATACATGGGTGCCACATCAGTTGAGTGAAAAAACAAAGTGGACCGTATGTCAACAGCAATTTCTTTGCTTCGACGGATCAAAAACGAATCTTTTTTGGATGGTGATGAAAAATGGATCCTGTACAACAATGTTCAATGCAAAAGAACATGGAAACAGGTACACGAAGGGGCGGAACCGATGTCGAAAGGTGGATTGCCTCCGATGAAGGTACTGCTGTGCATTTGGCGGGATATCCGAAGAAATCGCAAAGGAGTTCTTTTCCATCATGACAACGCCAGGCCACATGTTGCAAAACCGACCCTGGCCAAACTGAAGGAGATGAATTGGGAAATCATGCCGCATCCCCCATATTCACCCGACATTGCACCTTCTGATTATCATTTGTTTCGATCGCTGCAGAACAATTTGAATGGAAAAAAATTTAAAAATGTGGGAGACGAGAAACCGCGCGATTTCTATGAATCAGGCATCCGTAAATTGGTTGAACGTTGGAAGTGGATTGCCGAACATGATGGCCAATACATAATTGATTAATAAAAGCGCTTTCTTCAAAAAATTTCAATTTTAGTTTGCACTTGAAATCGGGCACGAACTTATGCACTCATCAATAGTATGATTGGTATGGGTAGAGAAACTCAATTTTAATTTAAGTTCATAGTTTTACATGGCAAATTGTGAAGCAACCTAGAAATGAAGTAACGCGTAAAGAAAAGATGAAGCTTTCGGCTATAAGTGGAATGAAAGCACTATTCTGCGCTTTTGGTAATGCTAAAAAATAACACATTTTTTCTCGATCCCTTTTTAGAATCATATATATATATATATATATATATATATATATATATATATACATACACGTATGTACATGAAAAAACAAAAAAAAAATTTAATGATAAAAAAATAAAAATATTATAAAATAATTATTAAATATTTTTTTATACTCGTACATATGTACATATAATTTAATTTTATATTTTTATATCCACAAAAATATATATTCACATATATTACCAATGTTATAGCATGTAACGGAAGCTTTATTTTTCTCTAAATAGCTTAACGCGTTTCTCCACACTCGCCACACCACCATACACACTCATATGAATACCGTCAGTTAGTCAATCAAAATGTCATATTAGATGACATTACAAAGTCAAAATGTGTGTAAAGAATTAAAATACAACAAGTGTCAACGTCTATTTGAATAACATAATTTTGCAAACATTGCAAACATGTTTATTTGCATACATGCAGTTTCATGTCAACAACAAAGTCATTTTATGTTTGTAAATAATAAACAAAAACAACATTTCTGAAATAAGTTTATTTTTGTTTTCGAAATAAAATGCATAAAAATAGTTTCTTTGAACAAGTATGTATGTATGAAATTTCACATTTGCTTTATTTACATATACTACAGGGTGCTCCATCTTTTAAGTCGGTATGTAAACGCTGAATAACTTTCATATTTACCAACCGAGCGATGGCATAAAGATATGTTTTGGAAACGTCAATTCAGTACAATTTTTGCCATGGATCGCTTCACGCCGAAACAACGCGCTGAAATAGTAACACTTTACATCGAAAACAGTCGTTCCATTGTGTTAACTCAACGTGCACATCGAAAAAAAATATCGCGGCAAAAAGACACCATCTGACAGATCACCTGAATTAACCCCTTCCCGAACTTATGTTTGTGGGGTTATCTGAAAAGCAGGGTTTACGCCAACCAGTCTCATACTATTGATGAGCTCAAGGCAAACATTCGTGCTGAAACCGAAGGTAATGGGCAAACGCAAAGGAGTCATTTTGTAATTGCTAATGTTACCTGGTTAACATTGTTTTCAAAAACTAATCCAAAAGAATTGTTGGGAACCAAACTGAACAATTATAGAAATCGCTTGTTATTCAATACATAAAAGATAGAGCACCCTGTATATATGCGAGTAATTACGTATATATATATATATATATAAGCAGATACATCTCATAAGTATAAACGTTTGCTTGTATGTTTGCTTTCTGTGATCTCCGAAACTACGCAGCAGATTATACTGACAAATTAACAGTTTATTTCAATGGTTCCTGAAAAGGCTTTTACGAATTTTTTTTCAGGAAGTGCACTAGGTACTGTGCTATTCGAGAAAATCTCATTTGTGCTTCGATTTACTTAAAACTCGCTTTATAGGTGGTTTTGTGCTTAAATTAACATAAAAACAATTTTTTTTCTCCAGGAAGTGGACCAGAGACTGTGCATTTGAATTACATGGAAGCATTCATATTGAAATTTTTTGTGAAAGACTTTCAGTAGCGTAGAATTGACACACACATGCAAATAAGTAAACAGATCAATCTAATATATGTGTAAGAGTCTTAAGTTCGTTTATAAAGATCCACGTTTCTCGGTAAGTTACCGACCCACTAAAATTTTTCACCACAATAACACTGCCGGTCTTTGCTTGAACAACACTTGCCGATGAGATGAATGCTTGTATAAAACACTCTACATTGTGGCGACATGTAGAAATCCTGCAATTTACCACCAATGAGCTTGTTAACCTGAAAAAGAAAACATCAGCTGATGTATTTTCGCCGTAGTTACTGGAAATGGGAAACGGAAATATGACAATTGAGCAGGCTTCAGGATGGATTATATCATCAGATATGTTATTAAATTTAGTAATATCAAAAAAAAAAAAAAAAAAAAAATTGTTTCAAAGAGTATACCAAAACTCCAAATCAATTATTGGGATTATGAGTGAAAGAGCTATTATAGCTGTATAGCTCACTGCAAAAAGCTAAGAGCTCAACCACACTATTCAGTCCAGCATTGACAGCGAATACGTCACGCAAATGTTAATAGACACAGCTTTGGAAGCAATTGAGGAGATCAATTATTTAAAATAATTTTTGAATTCTTTGGATCTGACGAATATATTGATTTTCTAGATTTTCTGAATTTGCTGACTCTAGTAACACCGTAAAATTTCTTCAAACATACATTTATTTTTATTATAAACTAATATGTCTTAGTCTAGCTTGTATTGAAATTTTCCTAGAATCAATTACAGTTCGCTTGCTTGCGATTGCTTTAAGGGATTACAATTTCTCATAAATTCTTTTAGCTGGTCACTAAGTTTGGAATCAGTTTGTTGAAAAGAATCATCTCCTATTTTTCTATTATACATAGCTTCTGTAATAAATTTCAATGTTCCTTCTCCTATACTTCTCCACAAAAGTGACTAAAAAACTCAGTATATATTCTGCAATAATCTGGAAATTACGAAGACTTAGACTTTGTTTATAAGTTAGTCCTTAAATAAGATATTATGCAGAGTATTGCGACTTTACAATTATCTTTAAATATCAACTTAGACTCTTCTCCTTATGTACTTAGCATGTGCAGTTCGCCTTTTTCCGTTCCCTTAAAATACATTTTTAATCTTTATAGTTCAGGAAAAACAATTTTTTGCTGCTAAAGCTTCCATTAGCCATGATTTTTCTAAAGTTATATCATTTTACTACCTCTTTTTAGTGCCTCTTCATTTCTATCAACAGTTAAATAAGATCATTTTTAAAGTTTTACTTTACTTACGGTGATGCTGCTCTGGTTGAAAGAACGTGTCGGGAGTGGTTTCAACGTTTTAAAAATGGTGATTTCGATGTCGAAGACAAACAAGGTTATGATTTATATTTAGTGGGATCAGCTCGGTGTGATTTACTACGAGCTCTTAAAACCGGGTGAAACCATCACCGAAGATCTCTACCGAACGCAAATGATGCGCCTTAGTCGCGCGCTAAAAGAAAAGCCGCCACAATATCAAGAGCGACATTACAAAGTCATCCTACAACACGACAATACACGGCCTCACGTCGCAAAGGGAAGTCTTGCCCCACCCGTCGTATTCCATAGACGTCGCCCATTTTGACTTCCACCTATTCCGTTCGATGGCACACGGCCTGGCAGATGAACATTTTCAATCCTTCGAAGAATTGGAAAAATGGATTGCTTCATGGATAGTGTCAAAAGAGGACTCTTTTTTTCGGGCCGGAATCCGAAAACTGCCGGAAAGATGGAGAAAGTTGTCGCTAGCGAAGGACAATACTTTGAATAATATATCTGTGAGCACTTTTTCGCAATAAAACTTTTAATTTTGGAAAAAAAACGGCGGAAGCAAAGTTGAACACCTGATATATCGGGATATCTTTGTAGTTTTCGGTAAAATTTAAAGTTTCCTCAGTTCTTGAAAACGGTATGGCGTAATAATATATTTTTAAGATAATAATTTTAATTTTCTTTTTTTATACATGTTTGACCTTTTTAACTAAATCAGCTTTTGTACAAAAAAGTGACATGGCGACATCCTGGTACCAATAAATATCTCGTGAAACGTTCATTTTCAGGCCTTACTGAAGCGGACGATTCACAATTTTTATTATATAAATATTTCAGATATTATACAACAAATTTTCAAAAAATTAATATTTGTTGCGACAAATAAATAATTTTAAATGAGGACATCATACCGAGTGACTTCATTATATACACAAATGAAATGCATGGATATGTGCGTATGTAAGTGTAACTTATGTACTTTTATTTCAAGTATTTTAATAATACAAGAAGATTAACAATCTTATCATCAAAGGAACACATGCCGTACAAAGCAAATACTTACCTACGCAACTGGCTGACGCCGGACCGACGTCCGCCTAACAGTGGCACTGACTGCCGCGTTGCTTTTGAAATACACGTAGATATATATATGTACGCGAAAAGTAACTGAAAAACCAGCTCCAGTTATCTATCAATTTAATGCGGTGCTCATAGCAAAATTTTATCAACAGATTTTTATGACTGACCAGTGAGTAGTAGAGCTGATATTTGCTGCTTATGAGTATTACATGTTATATATATATATACCAAATACACAAGAGAAATAAGTTCTAGATTACGCCATTAGATTTTTGTTGTTATTTGCGCAAACGTCATTATTTCGTTGTTGTGTTGGTGAAGTGTCAAGTTTGGAAGAGAAATGTGTCAACAGCGCATAGTTTAAAAGAAATGATTAAAATAAAAGAATTTCGGAACTTTCGATGAAAATTAAAACAAAATTTAGATATTTTTCATTGTTAATTTAAGGGGGTACATAGGTCTTGAAGGCAAAAAAAAGCTTCTTTTCTCTAATTTTTTTTTAAGTATACTGAATAAAGTATGCAATTTATTTTGTTTTCATTAAAAAGTTCAATATGTGAACAACATTTGATGAAAATTTGAATGAAAAATAGTATAAGTTAAGGCGTTGGCAGTGTCGTGAAGTAGACCGTCCACAGGAAAGAAAAGTGCTTTCGCGGTAGTTATGATAGTTTTTTCAATTTTTATCTGAATTCGAAAATACAGATTTTTTCTTAAAGTACAATAGGTGGTGAATTTTTTTTTTACCTGAACGTATAAAAATTAAAAAAACCAAATATTGAATTTCTTGTAGCGTTTTTTACAAAAAACGTAATTTTTTGTATAAAATTAGGCCTCAAAGATAAAATAAATCCTTCGTTCTGGGACCACAAGAACATCGAAAATTTTCAAAAATCGCACATAAAAAAAGAGATATGGCTAGATGAGTAGAATTCATTAAAATTGGAAAATGTTAATTGCCTATAAAAGTTGGATGATCATTTTCCAAGTCACTTATCTTATCAACTTCTGTACTGTCGTCAGAGGGCACAACGGTTTCATTATACCCAAGAATGTAACTTCTAAGTCTATATTTGAACATTTGCTAGTCAGAATGATATTGCAATCCGCCTTTAGCTCGTATGCCTTAAAAAAAGATTACATTGAATTTTAGTTTAAATAACTTTATCATTTCTTTTAACGAGCGCCATATGCGCGCTAAATTTAGATTGGCCAAACTGGTAAATGAACTTCACCCAGCTGCTGTTTTTTATATTTAATTTAAAAACTGAATCCTGCATAGTATTTTCACTCTTTTGCTTTATTGTAAATACATATAAAAAACGTAAAATTTCAAAGCATAATAAATATTAAAATAAATCTACCGCTTACTTGCTATTGCCCTATTAAGATTGAATCGGAAGTGTGAAGAAAGCAAACTACAGTTGATTGTCAAATGTTCTAGCATTGAATAACTGTATCACTTAAGACGTAATCTTACAGCTCCAATATTCTTTGGTAATAAAGAGTTATCCAGTTCGAGGTCTCAGAAGTGCAGCATGGGACGTTTAATAACCGCATAACGCGTTAAAATTGTTAAAACCTTTAACTAAAATGGTTATTTCGTGCTTTAAGAGGAGATTATGGTGCACATAACCGTCCAACAACTCCAGAAATTAGTACATTTCAAAGAAAATTGAAAAGACTGGATCGGTTAAAGATATTTTAAAGCTAGTGCAGCATCAACATTTTGCTCGTTATACCTCAAATATCGCTACTGTAAGTGAAAATGTAGGCGAAGATCCGAATTTATATATTACACGATGTTTTCAAGAGTTGGGGTTTTTTACGGTTCATTATAGCGTATTCTGTGCTTGAAATTTACACCTCCACATGAGTACAGATCACACAGCAACTGAAGCCAGTTGGCCATTTACATACATCGATTGGGTGTTTGAACAACAAGCAATGGACGGCGACTTGTTTAACCATTAATCAAAATTTTTTCGGTAAGAGCCACATTTCTTTCTCGGCTGATATGAAAATAAGAAAAATTGTCTCATTTAGGGCACTGAGAATTCTCAAATAATTGAAGAGATCCCATTGCATCCGAAAAATCTTACTAACTGGTAGGCGTTTTCTTCCGGCGGTTTGAATGGAACTTACTTATTGGAAAACTTCAATGGGGAGAATGTCATTGTCACTGTCAATTAGGAACGTTATGATCGAATGATAACCGACTGCTTTTGGTCTGCTATTGAAGAACACGACTTGGAAATCAACAAGATGGTGCCACATGCTACACAACACCAGTGAATATGGCTTTATTGCGATAGACATTTCCCAGCCGCGTGAACTCTTGGCCATGTCAATTGGCCACCGATTATGTACGATTTGAAAACGTTAGCCTTTCTCTTGTGGAGCTACACGAAGTACCATGACTTTCTCTTGTGGAGATACAAGAAAGACCCTTTAACTTTTGCGCGTTATAGCTGAGATACCGCACAATATGCGCCAAAAAGTGGTCGAAAGATATTTGAAACTGATCGAAGTTGGTGAAAATTCGCGACGCTGTCATTTGAATGATAAAGTGTTTTACATAAAATGTCAAGCTTTATAGGGGGAAAAACAATTTCATAAAAAATTGAAATGCGTTTAATTAACATTTAATTTTTAAACCGCAAACTGGATAGTCCTATAGGTTTCATAGGTTTGCTGCTGTGTACGAGTATTTGTGATAATATATATTTAAATTTTTATTTTTTTTTTGTAATTTTTTGCTTGGTATTTTTTGTGTTTTCTTTTAACTTCAGCTACTTTAATTTATTATCTTTGTCAAGGCGATTATTTTTTTATTGCTTTTGCTAACTTATAAATGTATTATCTAAACCCTCTGTGTATATCTCTTCAAACACTTTTAGAGTAGTTATTTTTAAATTATGGCGCGTGGTTTTCAATAAATTATTTTAATTTTTTTTTTTGCATTTGCCTAATCAAGTGCGCTTTGGTCATGCGCTAAGATTTTTTGATAACTACGCACTACAAATGTACAAATATTCTCTACGGTTATTTATTACGACTTTAGGCCTTTGCACACTACACCAAATGCAGTGATTGTGTACTTCACCTTGAAATATGTAAATTAAAATTGAAATTATAATTTAAGTACAAATTTTTTTTTTTTAAGTACGAGTAGATTTTGAAAACGTTAGGAATTTGTAAAGAATTTTAGTATAATTTTTGAGTAAGTGCAAACGCGACTGATTTTTTAGCTACTACCTTTTGGGCAACACTGTTTTTGACAGCTTATGATGCTTTTATGCCTTGTGACAAAAAATTTTACAAATGTTCAGATTAATCATGAATCGGCTTAAAAATGAATAACGTTTGCTTTTACTGAATTTTATTATCAATCTCCATGTTTGATTAAGAAAGTTTGTACTACTTTTTTGCGCCAGTCAAAGCGACCTCTGGAGCTTCATCTTCAAATAGCACAAAGCAGCATCAGTTGGCTAGAGTGATTTTGATAGAATTCGACAAGTTGCCACATAAATTGCATAATCACTTATTTAATTTAAATTTACATACGTAAGACAATTGAAAATTATGCATAAGAGTTTCCGCAATTAGAATGCTCAGTTATCTGTAATTATTTCACTCGCATAAGTGAATATGTACGTATATACATACGTAGTACTCACATTACATCACTAATCAGTGACGTGGGTGATTTATGTAAGACATATATATTTCAAAAAATAATGCACACAAAAAATCCAATAGTTCTTACGCATTAGCAACAATTATTTCATTGAGAGGGAAGAAATTTAAATAATTTCAAAGAAATATGCTCTTATGCAATTCTCTTAATATATAACAATTTTGTTGCTAATTGTAACTAGTAAAGAGCGTTTTTTGGTAATAATTTACTTATGCAAGAAGCAGGCGTAATTAAGAATAGTGATTTTATTGGCGTGGTAAATAAATTTGAATAAAGTACGGATTACTATGAGATTCTTCAGAATTATCTAGATAGAAGTAAAATTGTTGGTTTCTGATATGTTTATATTATTTTAAAATACAGCTGAATCAAAGTTTTTCGAATTATAAAAGTTTAAATAAAAATAAAAATATTAAAATGATTTTTAAATGGAATATGTATGTTATGAAATTGGGTTATCCATTTTGCGGGTACGAAGGTCAACGTAAATAGAATGCCTTTAAAATAATTTGTTTCGTGAAATTTCTAACAAGAAGTGATAAGCAGAGCTTCTGTTTTTTCTCCAGCAAGCTCTAGCCCAGATGTAGTGAGCCAGTCCTTCATTTTTTGCCATGGTCACATTGCAGGTGCGCCGAATTTGTGTAAGTTCCTTCTCAACAATCGTCACGACAATGTCCGACGACGATGTGCTTAGGTTTCCCCTAACCTTCATTGTACCAATTTTGTACGCATCACTCTATGGGTTCTCATCCATTTCTTCACATAGCTCTTTGAAACTTGACGACTTGTTTCTTTTGATCGCCTGTTTCAGCTCCTTACGTATTCATGCATCGTAACTTAATTTAATGGAGGTATCGATTCTTTTCCATGGTTTATTCTGAAGGTGGAGAATATCTGGTTTATGATGGTCTAAAGCCACTCTGATATTATCTAATCAGTTTGTCGCTGGTGGGATTTAATCTTTCACAAAGTATTGAGGAGGCTTATCTCACGGTGCTTAGTGCAGTCCGAGTGGTCCCATTTTCTGAAAAGAAGCTGATGCATGCAACTTGCCAATCCTGCGACGTAATTGGTTTCCGCTGCTTTGTTATATTGTACTTCGTTATAGTCGGATAGCTGAACGTCTTTACTATAATCATCGATTGGGTATTCGGGCTTATCATGGCGTTGCACTCTACCTGCCGTGTTGCAGACTGCAGAAGTTATCTCTCCGATCTGGCCAGCGGTCTTCAGATGACTCCCCGGTTCTTCGAAACCTCGAGCATTGCCTATGTTGGTCAGTTGATAAGTTCTTCATTCTTAAACATTTCGACCTCTTCTTTTGTCTGCAAAACGTCTCTCTTGCCTCTTCACCTCTCGGTATCGCGCTTGGTAGTCAAGAAAGATTTTGACATAGTGGCAGTGTAGGGATCATAGGCTCGTTTTAGGCAATCATTTAAAGCATTCGTTCTTCTGCCGTCGCGTGGGCGCAAATCAGTGAAATGTTGAAGAACTACACTTTGATGTGGATTGGTAACGAATCTCTCTCTTATAACGAATCCAACATCAAATTTGTGAACCTCTATACTATACGGCTATTGTATATGTCATAAGTGCCATCCTTCATACTTTTTAGACATACTTCTTAGAGAGCCTTTAATCTTCCAAG